GGGATCTTCTTTTTCTTTTTTTGCTGTCGACTGTCAATGACACTTAACCTTACTTTTTTATACTAATGGTACTACTGCACTAAATAATTTTTTATTTAATTAAATAATGCACCATAGAACACAGAATAACAACACTCAAAAAGCAGACATCCCATAACTGTCACAATTTATCTTGCTTTCTAACTATACAACAAGAGCCATTAAACTTCATCTAATCTCATCAATGTGTTTCCTGTGGGAATAAAGCTTGAACTCAAAGTGAAATTGACAAATCTTTTTACAGAAAACAATATAATACAATATGTCACTTGACAGATTAAAACCTTGTCTTTTTATTGGTTATAAGTAATAGAGTATTACAAGTCAGAGAGAACTTTTGGCAATTTCTGAAATAGAAGATGTGATAGGTGGGCATGGCAAGAGTAGTCTGATTTTCTATTTTATGGCTCTGTGACTAAATAAAATTGAAGTCTATGAAAATTATGCTTTGCCTGAACAATAATGAGATTATAATGAGTAATTTACATTAAATTTCATACTTCTTGGAGAGGTGGTAAATAAATTAGAGAAGAGGAGATGCCTAGAGAGCAAATGTCACTATTCTCACACAAGAGAAAATTGAGGATTTAACTTAAAACTTATTGTTACGTATCTGCTTGTTTGATAATTTCCGGTAGAAATTCTTTCCGCGGAACATCAGCGATACAAGTCCTTTTATTGATTAAACCAGTTTATTCTTTCTCGATACAAACTTTAGCTCATAGTAATTTCACAATCAATACATTTCTCGTCACTTTAAACTTAACTACTTTTATAACACATGCTATAAACCATAGCAATTCACAATCTCGATAACTTTGCCTGAAACATACCGTGTCTACTGTTTGCTTTATCATACATTCATTCCCACAGGCTTTTTCTGTCAGGCTTATATACTAAAGAAGGGGTGTCTTGAATGCACTCGGGTCTACCTGATCATTCATGATCAATCAAGAAATTTCACGCAGGCTGCCAGCGCCAAATGCACCAGTAGCGTCACGTGACTTTCGCTGCCATAACATTATATAATACTAAAAGTTGTGTTATTAGCTACATGTTCATTCGCATACCATGATAAAAAAGTTGTTTAATTAAATTTTGAATATAACTCAGTAAAACTTCATGACATGCACAGAAAAAAAAAAATGACCTTTTAGAAAGAGTTATCTCCTTCCTGAATAGCCTCATACTGAATCCACTTCAAATTCTGTTTCTTTAAATTAGATCCTTAAATCCATTTTGAACCCTTGTTATAGTGTTTGTCTACTTATTCCTGTGCCTGATATCAACATCAAGAAAGCAGCCTAAGCACTGTACTATAAACATGAGGTATTACTGAATTTTTTTTTTAACTCAGCTTATTTATTCACCATGAGATACTGAAAAAATTATTAAATGTACATGAGCTGAATAATCATGTGATTTTCCACTGTTAAAACTGTCAACTTTCAAAGTTTTGCTCAAAATAGTTGTCAAATCAATAAAAAGTGTATCTTCAGATAACTGTAATATCCATAGGTTTGTATACTTTCAGAAATTTCAGCTACTGATTCTGTATTCAAATGTTTTAGACATTATGTTACAGTTACAATATTTTACAGTGTTCCTGCATATAATGTAAGGTTGCAAAAGGGAATTCATTATCAATTATACCTGATGTATTTTTACTGGCAAAACCATGGTAATAAATGAAGTTTTTGTGGAATTTACAAGTATCTTTGTTTTTTTCCCTCAATTCTGTAATTATGGAGTTTCACCAAGTACCAATAGTTTTAAGTATCAATTATATAAATGAAGTTTTGTGAAGCATACAATTAACTGTTTTTTACTCAATTATTGAATTCATTATTAATGACCCAAAAATTTCTTCAGTCAAGCTTACTAGTACTTTACCAACCAGTTTTTATTAAACTAGTGTTCAGAATAAAACAGAGTTCTTGTGCAGCCAAGATATATCATGAAAAAATGGAAGTTACTTGATCAAGAGATGATGTGATAGGTGGGGGGTGGTAATATGGGTCTGATTTTCTATTTGATGGCTCTGTAACCTAACAAGATTGAAGGCTATGAATGATGATATTATAAGTAAGTACGCTGCATTAAATTTCATACTTCTTGAATGGGTGTAGAGGGGGATGCCTAGAGAGAAAATGTTACAATTCTCATACCAGAGGACATTCAGGATTTATTATATTGCCTTATAAAATTAAGAATATAAAACTTATAGTATTAAGATTTGAATCATTAGCTACATTTTTATGCCAAATTTATTTGTATACCATGATAACAAAGTAGTTTAATTAAATTTTGAATGTAACTCTAACCTTGTGACATGCACAGAAAAAGATACCTATGGTGAGAGGATTAATAGATTAGCTAGATGTTAGGTTAAATGGGATTCATAAACCTCTGATTACGATCACTATTCACCTCTAAAAACTGCATTTAGAAGACAAAAAAATATGTGAATTACCTTTATCAGGCAATGCTTTTATGGATTTCCCATGTGCTCATGCTCTGATTGTATTAGTCTGTAAACAATGGTTTCAATGGGTCTGTGTTTGACCAATACCTATTTAGCAGTACTGTCCTCTATTGCAATTCCCATAACTATTTGTCTAAGTGTATTCCCCTTAATATATTGGACATTTCTAGTAAGTTTTTGAAATATTTAAAGACGCAAAATTCCTTTAAAAATTATACTACCTGTAACTTAAACATAAAATCAATCATTAATGAAAAAAAAAAAAATATAAAATATTTCAATTTTTAACAACCACACATAAAACTTTTCAAATTATATAAACATTTAATATAATTTATAATACAAATGTAAATTTTTACCTTCACTTCCACTAGTACTGAAAGTACTACCTCTGGACGTACTGTACCATGAAGAACATAAGTACACAACTCATGAATCAACTGTTTGAATTCTGTGTGAAAAAAAAATTAAGTTCTTATCTCTATTACATAAAAGATGCACAAAGATATGATTTGATCACAGATACATGTAATAACATTAATAACCTTATTTCATTGACACACAAGACAAAACTAAGTTTAAAACACAAAAGATTAAGACACTTTCATCAAAAACAAATGGTCAAAACTTCATCTTTTATATGTAATAACATTCCATTGCAAAAAGTAACTGACTGTTATAGTTTGGTCCAGAGCACATGTAATTTCTCACTCATTTGTTAGAAATGTAAAAAAAAATGGTACTAAGTTATTTTTAAACATTTATTCATTAAGTTGCTAAATTTCATGTTTGTTGGTATTCTCATTTGAATGACATGTAAATTCTGACAATAAACATAAACAGTGATGTACGGAACTTTTAAAACTTCTTATTTAAAAGACAGAATGCTAAAAATAACATACTTGTCCTTAAAAATTAGAAATAAGATGCATATAAGTATTACTAACCATATCTGAATTTTATATTTATTTACACACACATGCATGTTGAATTTAGATGAAAAATACTGTATATTTCACTTTGCTATTTTAGAAAAACTACTTTTTTCTTGCAGCTTTTATTGCAGAACTGTTTTTTGAGTAACAGTTTCTCAAACTATGGTTCTGTAACAACACTGTCCAATTGTTTAACATAATTTGAAACATGCACGATCTACAAAATATTACTAATTGTAGTAGCACTCAGCTAATTACATTTGACAATGTATCTCTCACCTGATGCCACTGCTAGGTAAAGAGTTTCCTTTTTCAGAGAAATAGCTTAATATGTAGGTGTTAATAAACTTCAGATATCCATACTTTGGCACATAATGAAGATTGACAAATGAGTGTTCTCTTATTCATTCCAAATTTTAGCAAACAGTTAAATATTTTCTTTACCAGTGTGCAAAATTATTAATCTCTCTGTGGAAAAGTTCAACTTAGACATTTTTAAACAAACTTCTAAAACTCGCATATGTTGTGCAGATGGTACAATACTTAGAAATAATGTGCTGTTTATGAAAAGATTAAAAAATTAGGAGTATTTTACTCTAGGATAGTATTAACTTAATAAAAGTGCCAGAAAGGTCTTACAATTAATTCTTTTGTGATCTGACAAGATCTCATATTTCTTTATTTTTCCATGAAAATTATTATTATTGATGGTCAAATCTCACGTATTTTTGCACATTTTGAGTAGAGCTAGGCAATGAGTGACTGACTAACTCACTAACTGATTACATTTCGTTAATCAATTAATACACCATGCTCCCAGCAACCCATTCAAGCAAAAAATGGGTATGTACTACCCTCTTAACTTTTTTCCAATCACTACATTCACTACAATATTCTAAAACAGTATTAATTTTCTTATTTTCATTTGCAATAATTTGGTTTTAAGTATTTTTTTTAATTGTTCTTGATAGACCACTTATGAAGGTTGCCATTTGCACATTTCCTAAATCATTTTTTTGTCAGAAAAAAAAAATTCCCACAAGTTTTAGAGACATTTTTCACTTGGTGGATAAATTACTAATATTCATTAGATACCACCACATAATCACCATTGTTTGTTTTTCAAATATTCAGTAATCCACACTGAACTTCTGTACATCAGATAAACTGATAATTATTGGAGGTGTGGTGATACAATGATACAAGTATCATATCGTGAAGCTGTGATACAATTGTAATGAAACATTGTTTGATAAAATTTGATGTATGTATCTTCAAGAAATTTGGCTTTTGTACAGAAAAAAATAAGAATTTCTAATAAAGTATTTTTGCTAAAAAATTAATAGTTTAATAAATGGACTCAAAGAAGTCACTGCTCCAAGTGTAAAGCAATTTTTGTGTCAAGATTAAAAATACTTTCTCCATCTAAAAATTAACAAACTTCTTTTGTGTAATCTCTATAACCTCCAAAATAAATTTCCAACCTTTTTTGATAGATTTTCATATTTTATCTGCTATATTCACTTCCCTAATTTTATGTGAAGTTGGTCATTTTGACCATTCTCATAACCACCACAAAAAATACAAAATAGATTAAAATTAATCTTTTGTTTCTTTCTAGAATTACTTCAAATTATAGCAGGAAATTACATTTGCTTTCATTAAATAACTTTAAGCTGTTAATGTTATACATCTGTTTCTAATTATATTTTATTGTCAAAACTATCAAACTTTCTAACAAATCATTGGTAAAACTTCTGTATCTAGATATGTATCATACTATAGCATCAATATCTAAATGCGACTCATATCGACTACTATCGTATCGTATCAGTCTTAATTATTATATATTGAAAATATACTTTATTCCTACAACAATAGTAATCACATTTTTATTTATAAGATACCAGCTAGTCAGACAATTTATTTATATAATTTTTAAATAGGATATATGCAAAAACAATATTCAAAAAAGTACAAGTCATCAAAATATTTTGCAATGCCTACCATACTCACTGAACATTACACTTCTGATTTGATAACAATTTTATTTCATTTTGTGAACATAAAAAAGAAAAATCAAGTTTACAAACATCACAACTTAAAAAAATTATGATATCTATTAGAACGTAAACACTATAACTGTAAACAAAGAACAAAAACAAACAAAATACCTATTAAGCTAAGTAATCTTCAGTTATATGACTTCTTTGCTTCTTACTGTATAAATAATATATTCCTTCATGTCCAACAACATATGGGCCTTGTCCAAACACCAGTGCAGATCATCCATCAGGGTAGGAGGAATGGTAACAGGAGCTGACAGGGGATCCTGAGCAAGGTTCCACTGATCGTGAAGAGCTCACTGAAGGGATCTCATATGCACTCAACCAAGGGGGACCAGTGACTTCACAAGCAGAAAAGGCATGGTGAACAAACAGTTCCATGGAAAGAAATCATAGAGGAGAAGGTTGGGCCTGACTGAGATGAGTGTAAAAAAAAAAGACAACCAAGTGGACATGATATTGGTTAGGTCAGAAGAAAGACTTCTCTGATTTGATTAACCAGCCCATTCAAGAAACCACAAGAAGGAGCTAACAAATCTGGCTGGCTGACTCCAAATCAGAATGAGCCAGAAGAAGCCGCTCATCCATATCATGGTGGAATCGCAGCTCTAAAGCATGAAGATGTTGAGCAAAAGTTCTGACCACCAGATAGAATACATAATGGGTGGAAGCAAGCCCAAAAGGTAGGGTGAGAAATTGATAAAGCACCCCATGAGGGACAAATCAAATATACAGAAGAGACCATGTTGAGATAAAGATGTGAAGATGAGCACTGGTGACATCCATCTTCATCATCCAATACGGCTGGATAAAATGCCCACTGTAGGGTGAGAAATGACTCCATGGTAAAACAGGGCAGTTGAACAAAGCAATTGAGGCAGGACAAATCGATGACAGGTCTCCAAATCAGGAATCCTTCTGATAAAACTTGAAGAACCCAATGAGCCTTGAGGAAAAGATGCCAGTGATGAAGAAAATCAACAAGCTAAGCTCCCAACAGACCAAAACGCATTGGGTAGTCACCAATACTGTTGGCGATGTGACGAGCAGTGTCGATAAAAATGATAAGAGGAACCTTGAGAAGAAGGGAAAAGTAAGGGTTAGGAAGGGGAGGGACAGGAAATAGGCTCCAAATGAGACAAATAGGCAACAAGGTTGGAAAGAGTAGACTGTTGATGTACAGATGCAACTTGTGATTCCCGATTTCAAAGACTCAGGGACTGTGTCAAAGACATATCTCTGCAGAAATGGAGCAATACATAAATTCTGAAGATGATGGTAAACAGATGGGAGTTAAGGATGCATCAAGACCTAGAAGGTCCCAACAACAAAGAAACCCTGTATGTAAAGCCAGAGCCAAAGAGGACAAACAAGCCAATGTGGAAAGGAAAGAAGGAAGAGGATCTTCTCAGAAAACCCTTCAAGATTTCTGTGAAGAGCCTCAGAGAGGAGATGGATGGTAGAGAGATACCATAAGAATTGTGAAAGTATAACTAAGGCAGGAAAATTGGGCATGGGTCAGACTTACAGGAGATTTTATGGGGCCAAACCCAAACAGGCAAAATGGAACCTAACAATTGTTGGTCCAGAAAAGGACAGTCTGCATACTAATATGCAAGAGCAAACTGATTTGAAGCACAGGGGGGAGAGGCATGCTAATCATGTCACTTAATTGTGAAGCAAATTGATCAGCATTTACCCAAATATCTAGGGAGGGGAGATAAACAAAATAAAAATTGGAAGATTGTCGTGTAGTAAGGAAGGATGCGGTTCATAGAAAATAGGGGAAAGGAATAAAATGTCACATACCTGAGAAGTGAAATCCAAAAAGATCGTTTCAGGCCTAACTGACTCCTCAGGCATGGCATGGGAAGGCACGACAAAATCAGGAGGTGGAAATAGGCGATTCAAGTCCTCACCCACCTGAACAAGCTCAGCTTGTTCGGGAGGAAGTGGGGCAAGGTCTGGAGACAAAGATTAACCCATGTAACATTCAATCTCCCAGCAAATAAACATAGATTAATCCCCCACTGGGTTGCCCTTACTCGAGGCCTGAGACATAGCACTAGTCACAAGTGGGACCCCTAACGTGGTAACATGAACTTAAGGATTCATAAATAACAATGCTACTGTAACGAACTGGGATTAACATGAAGTTAAGAAACAGTCTTAACAGAAACTAGAAATGAAAATAAATGAAGACCACTTTGTGAGTATAGTAAAGTTGAATGTGAAACTAAACAAACAAAAAGGAACACATCCAAGCACAAGCACTGCCAAACGAGAAGTGATAGTTCAGTAGAGGTGTATAGAGGGAGTCACATGTGCATGTCACACTCCTATTGGTGGAGAAGTAATACATGATGATTTACATGAGAGACATGTTGGAATCATTTGATTCCAATAGGGGGGAGCAGAAGGCTTGTGGCATGCATGACGAAAAAAACATA